AAGGTGGTGGAGCAGGGGGAGATTACATCGCAAAACACATGTACTGGGGCTCACGTCTTATTAATCCGAAAGGACGACAGCTGCATCAAACTGTTATAAATAGGCACAATAATCTTGAATTAATATCTCCTGGTAAGCCAACATATTTTCCTAGTGATCATCATATATACAGCAGATCTTCCAACAGCTAACAAATGTATTAACTTCAACTATAGCGGACGACACAGCTATAGTCAGTCGTAACAAATAATAAATTTTAGCATCAATAATATTAGCGGAACATTTAAGTTCAAACTAAGAAGTATTCGATGTAAAGCGCTTATGCAATGCCGTAGTAAAGATTGAGCGACCTAAAAAAGTAAATGAATTCATAGATAGAGAAACTCCACCGAAATGCTTCCATTGCCTTCAAAATTACACCGCCATTTACTAAGTTTGTAGAATTTATCAGAAGGTTGTGTTAAAACAAAGATTCGATTAATAATAAGACAAGTTACAAGTTCTTAGGTCATACCTAGATTGCAGGCATTTTTACGTTAGAATTAATGATGAAATTTCCGACATGTACGACAACACTCTACACGATTTTCACTACTGACATGCCAATAATAAACGACAAAAATATAACTGTTGCCAAACGACACAGCCATTCTTGCATCTGCTAACTCTGCAAACGAAACGTCTGAAATTTTCAAAAAAAACTGAATGTAGTAGAATCCTGGCTTCGAAATTGGAGCATTGTGGTAAATGATACAAAGTCAGCGCATGTTACCTCCCAATGAAAGCAGGAGGTTGCCCCAGCGTCAATCTCAATAAAACAATTATTCCAGAATGTACTAGCTCTAAGTACCTCGGGATGCCCTTAGACAAAAGACGAACATAGCAGCAACATATAAAAATCAAAGGAGATCAGCCAAAAATCAAGACGAGAAAGATGTACTGGTTACTGGGTCCCAAATCGAAACATAGTCTCAAAAATAAGGTGATCTTATATAAAAGTATTTTAAAACAGATTTGGGCATATGGAATACAAATCTGAGGAACTGCAAGTAAATCAAACGTAGAACTAATTCAAAGATAGCAATCGAAAACACTCAAGTTGATTGCAAACGCTCAACGGTTCATTAAAAATATTAACTTACACAAAGACCTTGATATAAATATGGTGAAGAGAAAGATTCAGAAACTCAGTTCAAGACATCTTAATTGCCTAAACTAAAAACAAAAAAAATAAAATAAAAAATAGAAAAGATTGAAATGTGCTGAGGGAGTTGTGGGAGTATTATATTATTATATGTTTAGTATTGTGAATTTTTGTTTTTAGCTGGTTACGATGTTTTGTTGTATTTTTGGGGAGAACCACTAGTGAAAGAATTGTGGGAAGGAGATGGGTTCCAATTTACTGTTTTTTGATTGCTGATATGTTGTTGCTGTAGGCAAAACTATTGGAAGTATTATTGTTTTCTGCTGGATTGTTCATTTATTTTTTGGTAAAATACCATATATTGGACCCGACCAACCGATTTCGACAAAAATAGTACGTGGTATTCTTCTTACATTCTTATGTCACATTGCGAAAATTTATGAAGTCGGTCAGCAACTAAGTACATATTTCAAATTCCGCTTGATACGTTCAGTTTCCAGTACACAAATCAAAAAGCAATTAATATAATGGAATACATTTTGCACAAATAATATCTTTAAATTGTGCCACTCTTCAAGACCTCGATACTTATTGTTGACTTTTGATCGGAAATGAAATTAAGCTATAATCATTCTATTATACTACTTCCCATATCCCCAATATATTTAGTATAAAGAGTTTCGAACTTTCGGGTGACTTTGTACCACATATGAATCATATCAATGAAAATAAAAAAGCGTGTTTTACTTATAGTATCTTTGTGCCTAATGTAGGTAAATATGAGCAAACCCTGGCTCATTTTACTTTATTTGATGGGTTTAACACCTTCTCTGATTTTGATTGATTTGCAATTTACAAGAGTATAAAATGTTCGATTGCAGCCGAACTTGGCCCTTCCTTACTTGTTATACCCTGAATATATATTAAGTTTTTCACGAAGTTTGCAAGACCCAGAGGGAAGCGTCAGAGACCCTATAAAGTATATATATATAAATGATCAGTGTGTTGAGCTGAGTCGATTTAGCCATGTCTGTTCGTCTGTCTGTCTGTATTTATACGAACTAGTCCCTCAGTTTTTAAGATATCATTTTGAAATTTTGTAGACGTCATTTTCTCTTCAAGAAGCTGATCATTTGTCGGAACTGCCGATATCCGACCACTACAACATATAGCTGCCATACAAACTGGACGATCGGAATCAAATGCTTATATGGGAAACTTTCTCATTTAACGATATATCTTCACGAAATTTCGTATGAGTTATTGTTTATAGAAAAAATGTATTACTCACCATATCACTTATTTGTCATACAAACCGAACGATCAGAATCAAGGGCCTGTATGGAAAACTTTCGCATTTTCCCCTCGCAGTTTGTTCACATTGTACGTGTGCATATGTATGGGGTAGATTGTACTGATTTTTGGGTTCGTGTATCGATTCGTAGTATGATTTAACTTGGCTCAGTTTTTGCATTACATAGGATTTTGGAAATAAGGTCTTACCTAAACTGAATGACATGTGACTTCAAGATGGTTGGGAAGTTGGTACTTGTCAAAAGTAAGGAGGCAGGCTTCAGTATGTTTAGGTTTTTTACCTATGTTTCTGGAGAATTTGTATATACCTACAACTCCTTGATCAGATAAGTTATTAACGATTTCCTCTTCATTTAGGACGATTAAGTGTGGCGCATGTATATTGTGACTTTGAATTCACGATTTGTCTTTTACTAATACGCAGATACTTCCGCCGCTTAACTGTGTGATTTTCATAATTTCTTTGCATACTAATTTTGATGTGGAATGTTTTTTAGGTGATAAATACAACCGTTAGGTGAACAAAACTATTACACTTTGTAGCAACAGGTCTTGTTTTTCCATTCTTTAAATGTATTACAAACATCGTGACAATTTAATATACCCTGTTCAGAGCATAAAAACAATAAGTAAGAAAGGGCTAAGTTCGGGTGCAAACGAGCATTTTATACTCGTGCAACTTGCAAGAACCAAAGCCAGGGAAATACTTTAGTATGTAAAACCAATAATATTAAGTAAAGTCAGCCGGATGTTCGAAAATCATGATATTAGTTATATAGGGGCTACACCAAGTTTTCGAGCAAATTCATCTATTTTATACACAAAGTTACTAAGCAGAAAGCGGAAGCAAACCAAAAAAAAAAAAACAAGATTACACGCAAGAGTTAATAGCGCTTACACAATATGAATTATTAAGAAAATATTTTTGAACCGAAAGTTGCACTCTTTATTGATATTCTTATGACTAATTTTTTACTTAGATCTTACTGCTATTTATATTAACATGTCAAAACAGCATAAACGACATGCCGACCTCGCAACAGCGGTACCAATAAGACTCATTTAGGTGGGGGTAGTGCGAGGACTCAACACATTTGACACCACAAATTCAAATGATTATTCTTCGTTTTATCTTTATATAACCATTCCAGGGATTCACCCAACTGTTACAACTGCTAAATTCTTATAATTTTCTCAAGCCTACGTAAAAATTAAATTTGTAGGAATTTCTTCTACAAGTCCACACATATACATAAATGGTGACCTCGGAAAACAATCAAATTTCCGACCTTGACCGCAGTCACTACATATAACTGCTGACCCCTTAAACCATAACGACAGCATCACCATACAATTATGGACCCCTTAAAACATAATAAAATTCCGATATTGCTGCAAACGGCACTCGGAGCTTAACTATGCAGACGCCATGGAGCGCAACACTGATTTTATATTTTAAGTTAAGTTTTCAATTTCAGTTTTAAGTAGTATAACTGCCGTTTTCGCAATGACTGGTTAGTATTACTGTGTAAACGTCGTGAGCCATGGACAAGTATGCGCACGTTCAAACAATGACTTTTTGCTGCCCAAACAAGTTTCCGTAGGCGCGGGGACGATGAAAAAAAACGTTCCGCTCGTACTTGAATGGAGCGCTTTGTGTTTTTTATAACTGCTCGCTGCTACGCAATTTTCCATTCATTTTCTTTTTGAAATTCCTTTCACGGTTGCAACAGCGTTGGTTTATTTATATTACTAGCGGGGCCCGGTGTGCGTTGCTACAGCCATGCAACAATATAATGGAAACTTCTAGCATTTCTATTTTAATGTAAAAGTTCAAAATATTTGTTTTATTTCAAAAAAAAAAAAAAAAGAATTTCTTAAGTCATTTCATTCAATTTTTGTTGTGTTGGGGAAGTATAATTTTTTTTTTTGTTGTGAAAGTTCGTAAAATCTGTTTTATTTAATATTTTTCTTTCTTAAGCCAATACATTAGGATAAACAATATTTTTGGTTTTTCCATCTGTAGTAAAGATGAATAAGCAATGTGGCATTCCCACTCTTGAGCATGCCACGTAGAACTGGCCATGCGAAAAACACTGCTCTATCAAATTCAAACCGCACATTTTAAGCGTTTGCCCTTGTGCCTTATTTATCGACATTGCAAATGACAGGCGCACTGGAAATTGCAAGCGCTTAAATTCGAAAAGCATTTCAGTCGGGATAATCAGAATACGTGGTATAAGTCCAACATCACCTTTCGCTGTGCCAGTCAATATTGTGGCTTCAAACAAATTTGACATAAGTTTTTTTACTGCAAGTCTTGTTCCATCGCAAAGTTTTGGTGCATTTAAATTACGTTACAAAATAATGGATGAGCCGACCTTTAAATTCAAGCAATGCGGCGGCATACCAGGCGGTTCCAAAGAATTCARAAATTCAATTGGATAATTTACTGCATCACCTTGATTCATTGCGCTGTCGAATGATTTATATGATGTTACGACACCTGGCAATTTTTCTTGAATCTCAAAATTAATGTCATTTACATTAACATTTTTGGTGCCAGTATTGCGCGTTCTCTTAACCAAGTATGATTCATAATATTTCCAACAATGTTTGGAAAGACGCAATCAATTAGTTCATCATGAGATTCAACAATGGTGCAACAATTGTTTGGCAACGTTATAAATCCGTTGGTGCTTTGAATTTTACCATTGCCGATGTCCAACAATTGTTTTGAAAAGTGATATGCAGATGKATCATTGTTCAACTGAACACGCATGTTAATATTCAGTGTCATAGTTTGAACATGTCGCCACAAAATCGATGACTTTAAGCATGCGTTGATCTCATCCGCCGGTGTTGATCTTGGAATCACTGGTAATGTTTGGCGAAAATCGCCGGACAACAAAATTAATGCACCACCAGCATTGCCACGTATATCTTTCAATGTCCGATCAAGTGCTTCTAGGGATTTTTTATGTGTCAACGTATATTCATCCAATAAAATGATATCTGTTTGCCGCAAAACTTTTGCCATTGCAGAATTCCTTGAAATATTGCATGTGGGATTTTCAAACACGTGTACATTCAATGGCAATTTTAATGCGGAGTGTGCTGTTCGTCCATCGAATGGCAGCCAAAATCAATGATATGACAAATGTTTTTCCCGTACCACCAGGCGCATCCAAAAAATACAATCCACCAGACCGATTTTTCACTGCTTGTATGATGGTATCGTAAACGTTCAATTTTGGAACATTCAAATTTACAAATGTTTGCAATTCATTTGCATCATATTCTCGTTCACGTTGTAATTCTCGATCAAATAAATCATGCATTGGACGATTGGCAGAAGGTAAACCTAATTGCCCTAATGCTTTATTAGCAATCGCAAGGCACAAATCTTCGAGTGCTATTAATGCCTCATTATACATGTCCAATRTAAGCAACAAATCTTGATTTCTTGTACGATGACGCATTCGGATCAAAATGTCTTCAGCCAAATATTCTTTGTATTTATTCCACAATTCTAGTGGAGTTGATGGAAAACATATTGATATTATTATGGCGAACAGCATACGTATATTATGCGATGTAGAAGCGATCGCTGCATCTTGAAGTGTTAAATCCAAATGTGAGTAATTTTCCAGCAATTGCAAAAGCTGACATGCCTCACGATATGTCTGACACAATTGACYATTAACCGTACGTAAATGTTGAAATGAAAGTGGTCCAGCAACATTAACTAACGACAATCTCAAATAATAACATTCGGCGTTATTTGGATGAACTGTATAAACTCTGTCGATGGTATCTGCAAAAAAAAAACTCCTGGATGACCATCAACAGGTGTTCCTTGTTTACGTCGCTGGCATTTTTTTGATGTCGCAACCCAAGTGTAGTAATGCGGTACATCCGAATACAGCAAAGTTCTTGCAAATTCATCACTTCCGCTCAACAGGTCTTGTTTTTCCATTACAACTATTTTTTTTTTCAAGCCAGTTTGGGGTAAAAATCATACTGTTTTGTTTGCTGAAAATTATTATTTTTCCAAATTCAATTTTGAAATTCAACCTTGGGAGGATATAATCTAAATTATTTGGATTTGTTTGGAACTGATTTGGAATATCACTTTTTCTATAGCTCTTTCCTTTCCAACCACTTATCTCGTTAATTCTTACAGGCTGATCTCTGTAGTCCATTAAATTTTCTGATATTTATTGCTCCATTAATGGTGACCATCTAGCCTGTGCTTTAAATGTGAGAATTGGTCTAATGACAACTGTATTCATTCACTGGACTATATTCGATTTTAGGCCACAGTCCCTGTTGAGTATTCTCTTGCACGTGTAATGCACTGTAATGTAGACTATCCAAGCTTATTTAATTCATTTCTAGATGTTAATTTTCAATTCATATAAAATATATAATTTCTCTATAATCTATATGATTGTGCTTAATTTTATATTGTTAAAAGTTGTCTCTATGTCCAGAAAGGCAGTAATTGTATACTGTTAAAGTACATTGACATTTCTATTACATTTATCACCTCCCCAATATATTTACTTGTAACGATATATCTTATTCTTATATATAAAAATGAATAGCAAAATGTGTTGCTAAGCGCCTGGACCAAGACCAATTCTCTTTTTTAAATGTTCGTTGAAGTTCAAAGATGGTTTTTACGCCGAATAAAATTCGAATAATTGCCGGAAAGACCCTAAAAACAGCCCATTTCTTTTTCCCATACAAACATTATATGAAAAGTAAGAGAACGGCTGCACCAATCTTGATGCAATTTTCAGAGATTGTATGTTGTGGATCGGGGAAGGTTTAGAAATAAAAGAGCTTATACTTTTCATGGGTAAAAGTCGGAAAATTGGACAATTCCAGAAAGTAACTTTTTTCCATATAATTTTTTTTTTAATTTTTGTTTGTTTTGTTATTCAGTTATTTGAATCGTTCAAATCTGTCGTTTGCTTTCTTTATTCCGGCTATTCAAAAAAAAATATATATATTGAAAATTATTCAGTGAGAACGTTCTATGTGTTTCACAAAAAGTGATCAATTACAGATTGAAATTTGTTATGATGTCACGAAGAGGTCGCGCTAATATCGCTCGTCGTCCTTTTTGTCGTCAATATACATTGGCAGCCCAAGGCATATGACCGAGAACTCCCAGCATGCGATGACATACGTACGTGCGAAATTATGGATCGCAGGCAATCAGAAAGCGATGATCACGATGACACAATACGACTTTTCAAACAACAGTTACGAACTTTGACGGACTTTATGTAGAAGCAACATATGGTATATATAGTGCTGTTAGATGCTAGATGTACTCTGTTGAGTGAGATTTGCCGCACACAAACATTCTTTTTTTTTTTTTTAGATGGTGGATGGTGGTTATACCAGATCAAATTGGTGAAATCATTTCTGCGAACATTTCTGATCCAGGTTATACGTGTAATACGAAGTAATGAAAACCAGTATGGTTCATGGACCTTTCGGAGACCACAACCCAACTTCGGATTGTATGTCTGACAATTAATGCACGTTCTTTTCTTTCTGAAACACAAACTAGAAATGATGGATCGGCGTCGCTCAACAGACAACAATGGCAAAACATTTAGCATTCAATTTAGAAGAGTGAATATCGAAATTGATAACACATGACAAATTGACAAGCAACATGGAGGTTATTGGTCTTGAAAGATACGGTCGATACGAAAACGCAATAAAGCGCTTTGTGGAATGTTTACTTTTGCAATTCATGAACGTTTATAGACTGTTGTGCGTCTCGCAGTTAATTTGGAGAATAGTCAAAGAGTGTAATTCAACTCAGAGAATACAGTATATAACATTTACAAGCTTTTGCTCAACTTTTGTCAGTGATCCGTTTGGGAGAGCATTGCTCTATTCGGAAATACTTTGATATTATAAATGAAATGCATCGTCGAAAAAATAGTTACGCAGAAAGCAAGGCCACCCAGTAGATGAACATCCAAGCGTGTTTGTTTCTACCATCGGTACGGTGTGTGCTGGAGAGTAATCCAGCAATTATATATTCTGAAACATGTTAATCACTGGAATGCAAATGAATTTCGCACATTTTTCGCGATAATCTTTTCGACATATAAAATCCACGTCAATTGTGTGATACGAACAAAAATGACAAAGACATTGTACATCGTCTTCGCTAAAAATTTTAAAAGGGTCAATTCAATTCAATCAACAGGATACAAGGACAGTCGCATATTGTGTGGAATAAATTTGGAAGTTAGCATTTTTGTTTTTCATGCGGCCAGATATACAATGCGTTCCTACAAGTTGGAAAACCATCTTTTCTGTACACCGGAACAGAAACCAAGAAATGTGTTTTATCAAGCTGCGTTACATTGAAAAAATGTAAAAAAATCGAAAATAAATGATTTTTAACGCAATATAAATTCAACTTTCTTTTCATTTCAAACACACATAATTTGACGCAGGACAACAACTGCGGTATCAGCTAGTATGCATACACTAGACTGTCTGACTGTCCGTGCAAGTTGTAACTTGAGTAAAAAGTGAGATATATTGGTGAAACTTGGGCATAATCGGACCACAGCCACGCCCACAAATTGCCATTAACCGAAAACATATAAATTGCCATAATTAAGCACTAGATTAAGATATAAAACTGCAATGTAGTACAGAGGATCGCAGTAGCAAGGGGCACCTGTGAACATAAACTTTGAAAAAATGGGTTCCCCTGCCCTCTAGTAAGTTGAATGTACATATCTCCTCCTAAGCCACTTAAGCAACAATAACCAAATTTGCCCTTTATTACAAGGTGTGTTCCAGAATGAGCTTCGAACAAAGAGCCAAAATTAAATTTTGTTTTAAAATTATAAAATTTTTACCGAAACGTTTCAATTGATGAAACCAGTTTATAGCGATGATGGCTATGCCGTGCGCGAGTGGTTTCAACGTTTTGAAAGTGGTCGTGAGGACATAAATGACAATCAACATGTAGGCCAATCAATCCATGATCACCGGAAAATCCATCGAAACTGTGCTTGAATTAATCAAAAATCAACCGAAATCATCATTGAAATTCATGGAAATGGAATTGAACACATCCAAAACATCGATTTATCGAATTTTGACCGAATATTTGCGCTTACGAAAGATGTGTGCACTGTTTGTTCCTCACAAATTGACGTTGGAGTTTGTTACACGATAATGCGCCGTCTCTTCGATCGACGCTTGTGACCGATTGTTTCAACAAAAATCACATTTTAACCATTAACCACTCCTTGTATTCACCAGATATGGCACTGTGCGACTTCGTCCTTTTCGGAAATATGAATTTGCCCATGAAAGGAAAACAATATGCAGACGTTGAGGACATTCAAAAGGTTTGCACCGGCATACAGGCGGACATACCGGCCAACGAGCTAAAACACTGGTTTGACATGCTTTTGAACCATGCAAAAAATTGTATTGAAGCAGAAGCAGACTACTTTGAATAAGATAAATAGATTTTGCTGAAACCATTTGTTCTGTTTTTTTAAGTCCTTTTTACTTTGGAACCCACCTTGTATAAAGACTCCAACCGACAGTGTGAAAAATAATGAAATCGGATAAATCACTTCCCATATAGCGGAACTGTTAAAAACTACTAAAAGCGCGATAAATCAACAACTAAATGCAGAGACATTTATTCTACCTATGAGGTGGTATGAGAATGCTTTCTGGGAGCCGGTGTGAAAATCAGTGGAATTCCATATGTCGGAATACGACCAACCGATTTCGACAAAATTTAGCATGTGACATTGATTCCACTTGATTCGTTCAGTTTCCAATACACAAATCAAGAAGCAAATAATATGACGTGATAATACTTTGCATTAATAATCGGTCTCATGCATAAAACGTGGGCTTGTGCTCGAACTCGATTTTTTGAGTAAAAGTTGCTTGTCGTATGCATAAAAAAATTTTATATATACGAGTATTATTTCCTTTATCTCACTGCTCAGGCAGAGAATG